TAGGTAATCCGACCAATGGCCATCAGTGTTACCGACAGATGACCGTCGACACGGATTTCTGCTTTGACCCGGATACGCAAAGCGAGTGTGACAGGTAAAGTAATGGCAGGAGTTCTTTATCCAGTATCAACGAAATTTTGTTGATTTTTCCGTTTGAGATTTTTTCTTCTTTTCACTCTTGCTCAGTCGAACTTTTCCACCCCGACGATTTTCTTCGCACCAATTTATCTAACGAATGACGGGCATCTGTCCTATTTTTGTGCGTCGGTCACAGTTATGTCACGAAACCTGAAAGAATATTTTTTCTCCCATCAAACTTGCCTTCTTGCGTGACGGACGCCAAAAAATATTTGCGGTAATCAAAGAAATTTGAATCTTTCTTCAAGTTGAAAAAAAAAAATGAAAAATGGGGAAAACCTGATGTGATGATTCGAAATTAATTTGATTCTAATCGCTATGCAAAAGACTCAACTTAGTTCACGTAAAAGTTTTTGAAGATCTATCTGTTATTTGTTTTCCAGAGAGCCCAGCCCACTTTTGAAAGGTAGGACCGTATTTTTCGCGGTGCAGCCGAAATTTCGGAATGTGGATATCCGTATAACGGTGGATGTTCTGGTGGGTTCCCTGGATGTATTTCTATCATCCAAGGAGGATGCTTTTGTGGTGGACGTGAACAAGACGAACGGCATTCATGAGGTACGTGACGACTTCTGTATCATGAGTTTCCAGCATTCAATGTCACACTGCAATTAGAATACAGTATATTATCCCGATTTTAGTTAGCAAGGGATTTTTTTTCGCTAAATGGCATCTGTATTATGAGATGGACATCGTTCCTTAATGATTTTTAGATTACAGTACTTTTTTAAAACTCGTTAGCCCTACACTTCAATTTTTAGCTACAAAAAAACGAAAATTCGTTCAGATCATTTCACAATACTGTAATAATGTATACCTTTGAGTGAAGCGCAACTTTCGAGGGGAGTGAATTTCCGGTTTTCAGTAGTTACAAATATTTTTTTTCAAGATTTTACGAGCTATTTGAAGCAAGATTATCTGGCGCGGTGCCTTGAAATTGGAGAGCAACCGCCGATTCACAGTCACGGGAATTTTGAATTGACTAGTGTAGTCGTTCCAAATCTCGTATTTTCTTTATCTGCCCCCTCGTGTTTAAGATGACTGATGAATTGAATGTGGCACCTGTTGAACTGCGTGTAATCTAGCCCTGCAACGTGATGTTACTCGTCTCCTTATCCGTGCAGATATCATTCGACAAGAAGTACGGCGTGTACCGCAGCCGATACCTGCACCGATCCGTCAAAGACATGATCCAAACGGACGACGAGTTCTTGGACGACCACGTGGACGAAATCCTGGGCCCGGACGCGGACCGAATCCGAACCCATTTGCGCCAGACCTTTGCCGGCTCCAACGCGGCCAACATATTCCGTCGTCGAAAGAAGCAAAAGCGTCCACGCACGTTTTCCGAACGACTCCAGCCGCATCCGGACGAGTCGCGAGGAAACGGCGCCGCTGGTGCAGGGAATACGACTAATCGCGTGCCGCATCGCGTTGTGGAGCACGTGGCCGGCGGGCTGAGCACTTACATCACCATACGGAGTCCCTATGACTTTTTGATTGTCCGCGGAGTGCAGAACCGGCTGGTTATCACACTGCCGGAAGAGGTCTGTCTTGGCTTTTTCATATCCTCACAATAAAAATAAAAAAACTATTTTCGTAATGTCGACAGAGGGTGGACCTGCATATTTCGTACCTTAATATTGTATATTGTACTGTATAGTACCGTATATGTATCCGCGATTGGCTGATTTTCTCCAGTCACTATTCAGTACTGTATTCGTACCCATGATTAAAATTGGAAATTTTCGTCAACATTCGGCGAGTAGCATTCATCCTGAATTTCTTGATGCAGCAAAACGTTTTGTTTCTGATCTATGCGTTTGAATTTTCAAAGCGTGCATCACAATAACAATTATATCCAATTTAAAAATAATGTACGTATATGGCTTACGTAGCTTGAAAGAAAATTGAGTGAGCATTATTTTGTGATCATATCATGTTTTCTAGCATTCACATTTTTGAGATACTGTATCGCAGTTTGGAAAAATTCATCGAAGTAGGGAGAAAATTTCTGTACATCCGAAGGCACGTTATTTTTATGAATAGTCCTCGAATTCGTAATACTGTATAATGGAATCCTTAGAAGAGTTTATGAGAGTGAAGCTAGTTGAAAGCATTAAGTTGAACCTACGTTTTAGCCTAATTTCAGTGTCTTTCCAGCTGAAGAAATCTCGTCCTTGGTGAAGCGGTTTATAAAATTCTGGGCCACCCTCGTAGCTTGATCTGATTTTTTTGCTTTTAGCGACTTGACGTTTCTGCGTTGTTTTTGTTATGTTTTTTTTTTGCGCAAAAACTGTTCTGTGATAGTTAGTCAATGTTTTCAAGAATGGATGGACAGAAGCAATGTTTCTAGTACTGTATAGTAATGTGTACTGTACTTCGTGTTACGCAACTCTCAGGGGGCATTCACTGAACGATATGCTCTTTTGGACATTTCCCTCGCAATTCAGGTGCATGATCTGCGAAGTACTCGATTTTACATCGTGCTGTATTCGGTTGGAACGGAGTTCCAGCCCGTGGTCGACAAGGCCTTTGCTGGTGACAAGAACGGCTTCGATTTCACACTTTCGGCCGTCGGTGCGAAAGAAGATCCGGCGTTCGGGTCCGTCTTCTTTCGCCAGGATCAGCCAAGAATAGATCTCTTCGTATTCTTCTCAGTCTTCTTTTCGTCGTTTTTCTTGCTTCTGGCCGTCTGCGTCGTTGCCTGGAAGGTGAGCCATTGCGTGACCCATTTTTATACGTTCCGTTTTTTTTTTTAACATCATTATCATCTACTGAATCTTTGGACACTCGCGAATGTCCGTTTTAATTCACGCATTTTCTAATCGCATTTTAAATTTTGTGAACTCATTTTTTTATATTTTGTGTTCCTGCTACTGCTCAAGTGACCCACGATGTCCCAAAAAATGAAACTGGGTCTTATGCCAGTGCAGTATATATATTTATGTATTTTTCAAAGATGGACTACCACTTATTCTGAGGTCAAAAGAATGCGATAAAATCCATGAATAGACCCAGGAATGTGTATTTTATGTTCGAAGATGGAAATGAATTGTTGAATTCTGAAAGCTTGGAAACAGGCCGCGAGCGAAAAAGATGAATGATGTGAGTTTGAGATAATATCGGAGAAAGAGGAACTTGATTTGCCTATTATATTTGCTCGATGTGAAGTAAAGATATGTTATTCAAGTATAATCTCTCAAGGAAGGGATTACGCCATCCTTTCAGTTTAGGAAGAAGAGTAAGTTTTAGGTTGAAGAATATAAGAATCAAATTTTTGGCTACGTTAACATCTGGGGATTTAATCGCCAATGAAATGAAAAAAAAAACTTCCGATTCCTGGAATTGTTTGCTTCGTGCATGTCACCATGATCCAATGGGGGTCGACTAAATTATCATTCGCCTCGGTACCACGGTACTTGGCGAGTCTGTACAGGGATGAAGAGAACACGGTCATTCTGGATCGTGACGCGAACATTTTTTTGAGATATACTATGTGGGGGAGCTCATTGTCACCGTGATTGTCATGTTGAATTTCCTAGTGAACTTTAAAAGATAAAAGTATAAAATGACAAATTTTGAACGATATAACGCTTTCAAGTATATAATGAGAGTGAGTTGTCGATTATATCTGATGATCGATGCGATTATCTCTTGAACTAGCTTGAACACGTTTCCGAGGCCAGAAAATTAGGGGATTGATGCACTGTACTCTGAATGCTCATTGACGCTTTATCTCGAAATTAATAAGCTTGTCATTACCTTTTAAATCCATGTGAAAGCGTTTTTTTCTCGATTACCTCAAAGATTAATTGAACCTTCGCACATTTGGTCCGGATGATCTATTGGGGTCGATAAATGGAACATTCGAGGAAATTAAAAAAGAATTCGTTTCAAGATACGTAAAAAATTGTATATCCACTAATCTACTGAGATTCTTCTCATCTTTGTGAACATATTTTATTCATTTTCGCTTTGATGAAAAACTTCGGATTACGAGTTGACGCTCCTTGCAATTTTCTTCACGTTCGTTTTTTGCGACTTTCTCTGTAAAAAAGACGGGTTTTTTAGTTTACGATACGATACTTCGCATTAGTGCAAGAATTTTTTCTTTAATTGATATTAATTTATTTTCAAATGGAACATATAACACCCGGGTACTCTTATCTACACTGTCCTCCCGTTTCAACCACAGATAAAACATATGCGGTTTCCTGAAGCCCGATTGTTGAATCCATTTCCATTAAATTTATTGCTCTATGAAATAATTTGCAAATTTATATCCCATTAATATTCGCTTCAAAATACGAACCCATTTGTTGAATCAAAATTTTGTGGACCTTACGAGACATCAAAATCTGAAGTTTAGTCCCTATTCTTGCAGTCACTCATGCGCGACCAAAAAAGCGAGTGGAGTTCCACTGGGAGTGACTGAGAGAGGAGAGGCGAAAATTGACTCCGGCGAGATTTTTTGTTAAATAGATCCCTTTTTTAACGTTCAAAAGTGATCAGGCATTATTTGCTAGAAAAAGAAAAAAAAATTTAATTTTCTGACGCTCTCGCTCTTTTCCACAGGTGAAACGGTATTTTGACGTACGACGAGCTCAACTCCGCCACGTTGTGGAAATGCAGCACATGGCTCGACGTCCGTTCGGACGTGTCTGCGTCTTGTTCACCAGCAGCAGTAGTAGTAACAGTAGCAATGGCATAGCTGCCGCCGCCGCCCCCGAAGAACGCCCCAAACGAAGCCGTCGTTCCGCCGGCGGTGACAACGAAGACGAGTCGGCGACGCGCGGATTCCATTTGGCGCCGATCGCCGTTGAGCCCTGCGAAGACAACGTGGCCGGGGTCGGCACTGTGTTGGTACAATTGCCTGGCGGCGCCGCTGTCCCGAGTCAGCTTGGTTTGGGCAGTGCGTTAGTGTTGCTTTCGCGGGTGTACACGGCAACTGGCCGTTGTAGAGGCTCGGTGGCGCACGGAGGCACCGGATGTGCGGTTTTTGAAGCAGAGAGAGAATGAGCCGCGTGTATTCCTTGAACACGGGGAAATTTTGAGCTTTCTCCTGCAACGGCGGGACGTCAAAACGAGGCAGAATCCATGGGTGATCGTTTATCATGTTTTTTTTTTATTGAAGCAAAGGGGGGCCTCGGTTAATGGACTTGATCCATTTCCTGGTGAGTCCTATTATGCGGAAACGGCATTAATCTGGTAATGTCAAGCTAAATAAAATGGTTCATTGGTTGTGTTCTGTTGTACAGTTTAACCCCGTTAAACCGCCACCCTTGCTTCCCGCCACTTGTTCCTCCAAATCAAATCTTCCCAAGCTTGAAGGGATGGGAAAACCCTGTTTATCCGCCAATGTTTTTTGCCAGACAAACAGGATCTTGGCACTGTTTTTTACCCCAATAAACTGCCAATTTTTTGTTCCTCTCTTCAAAGCTTTATATTTCTGGGTAATATTTTTTTTAATGATTTGTTTTCTCCATTCAAAGATGCAAAGAATGAGAGATTTATGTCCCCACAAAAAAGAATGAAGTCATCCTCACCAAAAGCAGGATGGGGAGGGATAGAGGTTGAAACATTTTTTTTTTAATATCAAATACACTTATTCATTCATTAAATACTGTGGCAACCCCTCCCTTGTTAAACCGCCAACCCCGTTAAACTGCCAATATTCTGCTGCACAAACATTGGCGGTTTAACAGGGTTTGACATCTGTACAACTGGGAACAAAATTCAACTCGCCATCACCCAAGTGTGCGCCAAGACCAGCTGGGCGCCATGATGAAAGTAAGCATTGCAAACAAAATTTAACATTACCTAATCAAATCGACAATTACATTTTAAAATGTATATTCTTTTAAAATATTTGTGTGTGCTACATGATGCATTTTCTGAGAAGAAAAGTTGCCTATTTTTAAACGAATTTTTGGGTTAAATTTTTAAGTAAACCATTTATTTGGGAAGAATCGCTTGGATGAAGCGCTAAATTTCGAGGGTTCTGAGCGACTTACGTGTACAGATTGAAAAAAGTGAGCAATTTCAGTCTTCTGTGAAATTGCGATCAGATTTTTTTTTCTTGAAACTACCACAGTATTTTCAAAATTTCAACACAGAGAAAAAACCTTTCCTGCATTTTGGGGCTAACAGATACTAAGTTAATTAAAAATTATGCAAGAGACCATGAAGTAGGACTTTTGAAATAATCGAGCATTAAAAATGCAGAATAATTTCCGAGACGAAAAATAAAGTGAAGTGACGTGAACAATGCTCATTTTCCCTGGCGCTCAGTTGGAATGGACTGGCGCCCAGTTGTCCCAAACGACCTTCGAATAGCGGTCAGTTGGGTGACGGCGAGTTGAACCTGCACGAATTGGATTCATTCCTCCAAAAAGCCCCACACGGAATTACTTTCAAGATTATTCGAATGGCTGATACGTTTTAGATTCTTCCAAAAAAGTTTCAATACTTTCTTGAAATAAATAGTGAATAAAAATATCTGTGTAACCCGTGAAAAATACTCCTAAACCAGGTAACGATGTTCAGTGCAATGAAGACTAACTGCCAACTTCAATTTAAATTTTTCATGAACAGTAAATTTGAGTAGCCCATTATCCGGGTACCATTGTGTATTTTAGGAAAAGAATAAAATTTCATGCATTGAAACAAAATGTATGTCTTCCACCCGTTCCGTTTTCAGTTGAAGAACTGAACGGTATTCGTCGTTTCGTTTGCCGTTCAAGTCTGTACCTCTAACCGAAAAAATTTGAAAAAAAAGGTGAATTCTCGGGGTTCTTATAATTGTATCGCCCAGCAGTCCTCGAGTTCGTGATTCAATTTGGTATCGCCTACGTTTTACCTGAAGGATGGCTTCACGTTTTATTCAGTTTTAGCATTATATTCTGTTTATTTCGGTAAGGTTTTACCCCATCCAGGTTTTCTTTGGATGGGGTAACTTATTTTTTTGGAGGGATTAAATATTAATTGATAACATCTGTCTAGCATTCCAGGATCTGAGGTCGCGGATTGAGTGTATTAGTGGAAAACCCCGAATTTCGAAAGAATTCTGAAACTTCTGAGTACAGTACATGTAAGCAATTACGGAAGTCTATGTGAATTTAGTTGATTGCCTGTGTGCTTCCAGAAAGAGTACTGTAGTTGAAAAAGCGAGGCTTCAAGGTTGTGTGAATTGGCTCAAGCAAAAAGGGGAAAGCCTTTGGTGGAATATAATCCTTGCATAGTTGCATTCTAGCATCTGCGCAAAAAATAACAAGGTGATGATGTGGAATGGAGATTACGAAAGCAGCATTCCGTGCTAGGCTACATTTGAGTTTGAAAATGCTCAAAATTCTTGAATTCAGGTGGACCCTCTCGGTTACGAGTCCCTTACTGCGATAATCTCCGTACAAAAATGATATTAAAAGATTCAGCCCCTTAACGTAAAAATTATTGCTGACGATACGATACTGTATTCAATTTTCTGTCGTAGAATTCGTACGTGTGTACGTTGCCCAATCGAGATCTGATTTTAAAGCGTTCAATGTGCGCAAAAATGGTTCAATATTCTGTATTTTTCAGTGTGGTGACGTTCGAATATTATTGTAATTCATTTTCGAGAAATTTTGCAAGCGCTTCCAGCGATTCTGGTTTTCAAAACTCAGACAAAGGCAGATTGAATCATTACAATAAAATATATTTCGATAGTCAAGAAAAACTAAAGCGCTTTGATGAAGTAGACAATTTCGCAGATTTGTCAACATCGCTGCACGGAATCATATACAATAATTGACTTTTTATCCTTCCGATAGATTGCTAGTAACTTATATCGCGAAATATATGTCTTGAAGCGTGAATATTTTTTTGTTTTTTTGAGACAGAAATTTTTGTATCAAATTCTTGATACGGACACGTATTTAATCTCTTTTTAATTTCAGTGTGACTCGTTTAAGTCCAAGGGGATATTTTTATGTTTTTTTTTTTCGAAACACTATCGTCGGAAATTTCATAATTTTGACCGGTACCTGGCTTTTTCGAAGTTTATCTGATCGCGAACTGATTAAATAAAGAGCTCTTTATGTTGTGTGAAGAAACAGAGTCTCAAAAATTCTGATGTTCCATCATTAGAATCGGAAATATCGACGTTGAACGAGACGGATGCAAGGAAAATTAGATTTGGTTTATTTACGACATTGTGCCATGAAAAGGGAACGGTCTCGCGGTTCTTCTTCACTCAAGTCTTCTTCGTTCAATACTTATAAACTTGATCCAGCTGTGATATAGCTCAAGTTGTTTTTTGTTTTTTATTTTATTTCAAGTTCGCAAGACGAAGTAAGCGGAACAAAAACGGAAAATATCAGGTTTCTCAGAAGGCGTGAGAAATTTGAGTGGTGTGATAAAAAGAAAGACCTTTTTCTGTTGGAATTTTTGTTCAATGATTTTTACGGTATTTTTATCGCAGTCGTCTTTTTTTTTGCGCTTGTTAATGTGTATTTTTTTGTTTTTGATGAGCGACAACATATCATTTTCATTGTGCACGGTCTTCGGTAAAACTCCACGAGAAAATGACTTGAAACAAGAACTTGACTTCTTTCGGCTTTAGTTTCATGGTCGGTCAGGGTATTTTGGTCGATGAGCCGATGAATTTGTGAAATCGCCTCGCTTTATTTTTATTTTTTCCAACGCGTGATGACGAAGAAAGAATGGCTCAGAGTCTCAAAAGTCCAATTTGTTCGTGGGGATTTTTCTGTGTGTGGCTTGTTTATCGACGTTTGAAATATGGAAAAATACCTTGAATGAATGTGAACTGTTTTGTGGGTACCATGACTGACTCGATTTACTCAAGCTAGCGAGGGGTTTTTTGAAAGTTCTGCTCTTGAAGTAAGAAGCATCTTCGATGGTCGATGAAATCTGGCTGCTACTCACTGTAAAATTACTATTTTTTTCACGAATTTCATCTGTAAATTATGTCGAGTATGTTGGAAGCTTCTTTCTGCAAACTTCCCGTGTTGTCTCTCGGTTTTAAAAAGCCATGAAAATCTTGATTATTCATTTTGGTGAATACAGTTCTAAAAAAAACAGACCACGAGGTCACATCTGCACTTGATCACACAATCTTTCGTTGATTTACTGGAATTTTCAGAGACCCCCTGTATAAGCTTGTAATACTTTTGGCGCCGTTAGTAATCATTTTTACTCGTAGGTTTTATTTTTTGGGAACTTATACTTTTTTGCAGAGCATGTAGTGAAAATTGTTTGGTTAAAAATGGAGGCCAGACCTGAAAATTTGGGGGATGATTTCTGGACGAAGTACCGCGGACTTGCCGCCAAACTCAAGAAGCGGTTTTTGAAAAAGCCGAATGTCGCTGAGGTCGCCGATGAATTTCGTGAGTTGAAACTGCGAAACGAAGCTGTGAGATAAATTTAAAAAAACGAAAAGCCGATTTCAAAGCAAGCAACGTGGGAAAAAATAATATAGGAGGAACAATCATAGTGAAAGATGGACAAGACAAAAATGACTGGGAAAAGAAATCCCGTGGAAGTAGGTTCGGAATACCGTTGAATCGATTTTATAACAAGACCAGGTAATGAAAAGTATTTTTTATCCATTCAGTCCGCAATCTTTGGCGCTTATTTTAAATTAGCCATTTCGGAGTTTAGAAAAAGGATTTTAAGGAGACCGTGGGATTTTCTCTCACCTCTGTTCACTCCATTACAACTTTTTCTCTTTCATTTCATTCGCTCCTCGTTGAAACATTCATTGAAAGACGTGCTTCTTCGAAAATCATTCTGCGGAATTTGTGTGTATTTTTTCTTTTTGAATATTTATTTATTTTTGCTTAATTGATTTTCATTTCAAAAAAACTCTTCTTCGCTTGAGAAAGGGACGATGGGGAAAGTGAAGAATGTGTTTTATTTGTGGGGAAAGAGAAGGCCAAACATTGATAGTTTCCGCACATTCATCTTGAAAAAATTCCTGTAGGCTTTGCTAGAAGAAGGTCAGAAAATAATATCTTCTTGGTGAACACAAGAAGGTTAGACGACTTTTTTTTAGCGATCTTTGAGTAACATTTGTTTTTTTACAATTCAAAAATTCGATTATCTTAGTACTCGGCATATTTCACTCTGATGGATTTAAGTTTATTTTTTTTGCAATGATTTTTGTTTCAGGCTCCCTTGCGAAACGTCTCGCGGGCGACGAGCATCGGCCGCTTGCAGGAGTTTGCTCTTTGGCAGTGGCCCGATGTGAGCAGACGATCGGAAATCTTCCCTGTGAAGCAGAAGCTTTGCTCAATGCTGCGAGGCTTTTCCTAGCTCAGGCATGGCTTTAATTTCGATATTGTATTTTTCATAAATCAGCAACACTGAGGGACTGATTTTTTTTTTCGCCTGAGCCTATTTGTAATTCGTTTAGGGGTTTTGTACAACAGCCAAATTGCTGTTTTTTGCAGAGATGGGCCCGAGATGAGGATGAATTTATTTCACAGGCTGTATCGAAATGTCGGAAAATCAGCGTATTCGAAATTTTCTAATACATTACTGTAAATTTCAGTGGGAGCATTTCCAATCAATTTTTTTTCAAGTGGGGAAAAGTTCTTTCAAAAATATAATAAAATTTGTTTTCTTCATTCGAAGCACACAGTAATTTTTCAAAAGAACACAATCTTAACTTTTGGCATGAAGAAGAGTCTAAAAAGCAACCAAATAAACGTATAAAGTACTGTCATTTACGCTGTTGGTGGCAAAACTTCTACAAAATGAGCACAGTACAGTATTAGCCCACAATATTTTTTTATAAAAGATAAACACTTATCTTGAATTGTTTCCGTAGAAATAATAGAGCTGAATTTGTTCAAGAGATATAAAATGCTCATGGAGGAAAGTTTATTTTTTGGGAAATTTTGGCCAAGCGTCCAGATGCTGGGCAGATTTTTTGAGTTTGAAGTGTCCGTAAGTCAATTAGTCCAGATTTCGTGTTTTCCGTGTGTCGGGGCACGCTGTCCTATTTTTTAAAAAATTTTTTAACGTGGTTTGTGTCCTTTTTTAGGAGCAAGAGAATTACGATTTGCGATTGCCGACGTTTGACGAGCATCTCCTCAATGCCATCAGCTACTACAACATGGCAGCGAATGTGTATTTAGAGTTTAAGCAACCCCACTTGGCATCCGGGGTGTGTTTGGAAGTGGGGAACGCGCTTCGGGCCGCCGGTAAACGTAGCGAAGCCCTGGGCTATTTTCTTCAAGCTGCCGAAATCGAGTCCAAGTTCCCACTGAGCCACTTGTTGGCGTGTCAAGCAGTTGTTGAATGTTATGTAGACCTCGGGGATCACGAAATGGCTTTGAACACGTTGACGGAAATGGGCCAGAGTCTCGAAGAGCAAGGCGGCGAACAACCGGCGTTTTTTGAGATGCAAAGCGAGTGAGTTTTTTTTTCAACCGGTTGTCGCTTTCTTTTGTTTCAATTTTTAAAGTGGACTTCAACTTGGAGTAGTTTTGAATTTTAGGATTACAGTATTTAGCGTCCGGACGTTTTGATTAATTTAGACCCTGCCAAAATCGTAACATTCTCGGAAACTGGAAAATATTGAAAGCGACTTTCCCCAATTTTTGTTTGTATCCTTCCCGATTCCGTGTACTGTATTGAAACGTACTGAATAATATCACGCCCTCCCCCGGCCCCCTTGACTTTTGTCTAATACTGTAATTTGCACCTTTAAATTGGGGACATGCTTATACTGTATATCATTTAATACTGTACTGTAAATTGGATGATCATCCAGTTATGGAAATCCCCTGGGATATTGTGTTCAGATTTTTGTGAGCTTTGGGTTTCATGGTCAACTTCGGAATTTTACAATGTGTTGAAAAGTTTTCGAATTTTTATTTTTTTGTGAAAGAGAATTCTTTTCTTTTCTGGAATGTTCGGGGTATTCTATGAGAAAAACGTAATCGTTTTGGGATTTCCCGCTAAGGAACTTTTTTTTTTTCGTTGAAATTTCAGTCCACAATCCAATCCTGCCTTTTGTTTTTCTTTGTAACGATGTGGAAGTGTCTTTTCCAGGACGTTCATTTTCAACGAATGTTCGTCAAGTCTTCGAATTTTTCAAGTTTCATAGATGTTTTAAGTGTGTATGGATCTCTGCATGCCTAAAAGAGTCAGTGTCTCATCAACTAACGTGACACGTTGGTTCATTCAACAGCGTGGAAGTCACCTCGCTACTCATACTCCTGTTGCTTGAATATCCCAAAGCCCATTTGAAAACTGAGCATCGTAAAATAATGCTCAAGTTCTCTCCTGACAACGATGATGTGGGTTCATGTGTTCACTCAGGTGAGTTGTTTTTTGTTCATCTTCACTTGATTTCTAATCGCTTGATCTCTTGAAGATAACCTGGTTATGCGCATCTCCCGTCTTATCGGCTGTATAGTTTTGTATTGAATTATGTTCAGAAGCGCCTGGATTTCCTCGCTCATCTAATCAGTTCTCATGTTTTATTACGAAATAGTCGTAGTTACGGCTTAACTTGCGTTTTTATCTAATGGATGATTTGTTGTTGATTCTTGTCAACCGTAGGTTCAGACGCCGAGAACGATCGAAGACTTCTATTGCAGTCACTAGTTTTGGCTATGGAGATGAAGCACTTCGAATCTCTCAAGGAAACCGAAACGCAACTTTCGAAATATTTGAACAAAACGCAGGCCGATATTCTTCACCATATTGTTTTCACGAGCAGAAATCGTTTCAATCTTGGAACCAGTTGAGGATTGCTGAGTCCTTCGTATTGTGTCTCGAGGCTTCTGAGGAAGAATAAGAGGATCACTGAAGTGTACCATACTTTTTTTGTCATTTTGTTGGAGATATCTTGGTTTGATTTTTTTTTACGTCGCCTGAACGGTGTGAGAATAAAACAATGGGTGATGTTTTTGTCCGATTTGAAAAATTATTTTAGATTCTGTTACACATTTTACGAGAAAGAAAAGGCACGTGAAGTCACAAAGAAAAAGATCCAACGGGTCGAGGAAACAGAAGTAAATTGTCCCATGTAAATCTCGGATTTAGTTAGGAATTTCCAAATGAGTAAATCTGATTTGATCCAACTGAGTAAAATAAGAATGGTGTTGGCTTGAGAAGTTAAACTCAAAAATCGATTTCAGGACACGTGACACAGGGGTGATCTATGTTCTACCATCACCTTATCTCACTCGATCACCTGATATTTTTTTTTATCTATTCTTCCATTCCAGTGATAATCCGTTTCCTAATCACAATCAGTACTGACTGGTTACGAGAGATAAGGTATATTTCTACGTTCCATTCACAGTGGCGTAATATCTGAAGAAAAAAAGCGCTTGCTCAAGTGCAACACAATACAATAATAAAAAATTAAAGTTCCGCATTGTTAGTTATCGGCATTTCCAAACGCTTGTAAGGTACAGTATAAGTTTTCCTTATTGAAACAATTCGTAAATCGCTTACGGAAGCAGCCTTTCGTCGACTCACTTTCAACTTTCATTTACCCGCACAAGTTTAATTTTCAACAGGACTAGCGCCTTTATCACCTGACAGTTCTCACCATTGACTACCTCAACCGAAACTGCATGCTTAGTGATCCATTCGGCATTGAAACTATGTGAATGGGTGGACGTTACTGGATTTTAATCCGGCGAGAAACAATGGAGTAGCTGAAGAGAAAGTTTTTTTGAAACCTGCCGCACATATTGATAACAGCAATGCTTCCTGTATTCGGGAATAGTCAATCCTCCTAACGGAGAAGGTGGCCGCAATTCAGATATCGCGCCGCCTGTAACCATGCTTTTCACATACAGTAGACGCGGCGTGGCCTAGGTGCTTGCGTTATGAAACTAGTTTCAGATTGATTTTGCTATTGAAATAGTGAGCCTTTTCACTTTCGTCTGCGGAAACGAAGGTTATGAAAGCTGCCACGTAATCCTTGAAGGTCGGAGTCGCGCGTGTGAGATGGTGGTTATAAACCTCGGGCGAATGAACAGTAAACGGAGACCACGGGGTATCAACATTTGAATGACTTGAAGACTTGGGCATTATGTTAACTTTGTCCCTGAATGAAAACCCTAGATTTGTCTTCGAAGAGCTCCGACACAGCTTCATCTATTTACTGTAATATCGTTTTCCATTGCTTCCAGGAACTTGTGAACTGATTCAGCTTCTGTTGCCCGTCATCATCAGACGTTGTGAATGGATTTAATAGAATTCATATCTTGGCTATGAGGTATGAACGCGTATTCTGCGCATGGTGTTCTGGAGTAAGGGTGTGCCTGTATTATTTCTTTTTCTCCGATTTCTTCAGAGTGAAACAAAATGCAGAAATATGAAAAGCTTGAGAAGATTGGGGAAGGTACTTACGGGACAGTATTCAAAGCCAAGAATAAAGAGACCTTGGAAATCGTCGCACTGAAAAGAATTCGTCTGGACGATGATGACGAAGGAGTTCCATCTTCTGCTCTGCGAGAAATTTGCCTGTTGAAGGAGTTGAAACACAAAAATATTGTCCGACTCCATGACGTTATTCACAGCGATCGGAAGTTGACCCTAGTTTTCGAGCATTGTGACCAGGACTTGAAGAAATATTTCGATAGCCTCAACGGTGGAATAGATCCAGAAGTTGTGCAGTCATTCATGTACCAGCTTTTGCGAGGGCTAGGTTACTGTCATGCTCGCAACGTCTTGCATCGGGATCTTAAGCCCCAGAACCTTCTCATCAACAACTCTGGGCAGCTGAAGCTTGCTGATTTTGGTCTAGCCAGAGCATTTGGAATTCCTGTTCGGTAATCAAGGATTTTCCATCTATGAACGAGGTACTGCAGTACCTCGTTCTAGTTTTCTAAGTAATGTAGTAGCACCCTTCTAAGCTACCTCAAACTCATGAACAACTGGATCAAACCGTAACTGACGTTCAGCAACTTTTTTACTCTTTGATTTTGTTGCAAAATGAGCACATAAATGCATGGATTTTCTTTCCGCTGATTTCCTGGGAAATCTTCGTTCTAGGTGTTATTCAGCCGAAGTTGTTACCCTGTGGTATCGTCCCCCCGATGTTCTATTCGGAGCTAAACTCTACACAACGTCAATTGACATGTGGTCTGCCGGCTGCATATTTGCTGAGCTCGCAAATGCCGGAAGACCTCTCTTTCCTGGAAGTGATGTGGATGATCAGTTGAAGCGAATTTTCAAGGTGCTTATCTTTCATATAATGATGCATTTATTTGTCATCGCAAAATTTTTGTTTTCAGCTATTGGGAACTGCGACTGAAGAAATTTGGCCTGGTGTCACTCAGCTGCCTGAATACAAACCTTTTCCGATTTACCATCCCACCATGACATGGGCACAAGTTGTACCCAAGTTGAACTCGAAGGGAAGAAATTTACTTCAGTGTTTACTTGTGTGCAATCCGATCAACAGGATGTCAGCGAATGAAGCCATGAGACACGCTTATTTTGATGATTTGAGCCCGAACATTAGAGCTGAAAGAAGTTGAAAGAACTTGTGAGAAACCAATCATTGATCTCATATTTCGTATGTGTGTGGTACTCTTTATGCGGGATGAATTTGGATGTTGCCCAGATTAGTTGCATGGAATGAACTTCAGTTTTACGACTTTCCAAGACACTGAGTTTTTTTTTTTTCTATTTTACACGAAGTGTTGATGCGATACTGAACAACTCATTCCTATTCTTTGTGTCCCCAGGAATGGTCTGGATTAGTTCCATCCGAACTTTTATAAAACTCCGAAAAAGTTTCTCTCCTAATGCTTTCTTAACTGTAAGAAATCTATCTGCAGAGCGCTTGGTGTCGAAAGGGTTATTGAGAGTGTCGGGCCATGACACAGCTGAATTCCTGCAGGGACTGGTCACGAATGATGTTGTGGCATTGTATTCCGGAAGTTCACAGCATTGCTGCTACTGTCATCTACTCAATGTCAAAGGCCGCGTGGTTTACGACTTGATGCTGTACAAGCACGGCGATGACATTCTTATGGAAGCTAACGTCGACAGCCTCTCCCGGCTGGCGGCTCTCATGAAAATTTACAGGATCAAGAAAAAAATTGTCATAGAGAAATGCGAAGATTTCGCCTTGTGGGCTGTGTTCGGAACTGGACAGGAAAATTTTGATCCAAAAAATCTTATGGCATTCAAAGATCCCCGTCTGCCGGATCTCGGTATGTTTGCATAATTTTCTCTGCCAAATCCGATTTTTTGAGGGACAATGTTTTCTGAAAGTACTGTAGTCTATTAAGTCATTTCTCGAAGTGCATGTGTCAGGTTTTTCCACGATTATCTTTCCGACGTAATATTTGTAGCCTCATACCAAATTTTCCACTGATGCAGGTAAGTTATTAGAGGAAAGAATTGGAATACAGTACACGAGTACAGCATTTAATGTCTATTGTAAAGCATCACGTCCCTCACTGTGTGATTTCATTTCAGGTGCTTAGATGTCACTTGATTGTGGCTTAACTCCGTTTTGTCGGGTATAAGCTGCATATCTAGTGAATTGTATCAGGTCGAGCAAGATCACCTTCTGTCAGTTAATTTTCTCGGTGAGGATTCATACGACATTTTCTCAGCTTGAGAGGGCTAAACGTGATTCTGAGCTTAAAAGGGCCAGTGTGTGGTCGTACTAGTTAGCAATGGAAGTTTTCGAATTACTGTATTGTACTAAGTGCGAAAATTCAGGATACAGTATGTTCTTCCAACTTTGCTGAAGGAATTGACCTTGTTTGATATTTTTAAACGTAGGCTGGAGAATATTATCTTCTAGTCAACATGATAACGATTCACTTGGGGACTGTGATCCCGAAATCAATATCGTGTATGATGGGGAACACGGTTGCTACCGACACTTGCGATACGATCTTGGGATTGCGGAAGGAATGAAAGAACTCATTCCTGAAACCTGCTTCCCTTTAGAATGCAACCTTGATATTCTAAACGGTGTGAGTTTCTCCAAGGGATGTTATATTGGTGAGTTTCATGTAGTGTAATGTCTGATTTCTAAAGCTGCTTCGACCCTTCTTATAAGAGGAGCTAATCGCTGATAATTATGGTTTTTACATTTCTGAAATTCATTAAAGGGAAACAATGTTTTAATTGTAATTTTTGCTTGATCCGCTTTCAGTTCATTTGGTCAACTAATTTCAGGAAGTGAAATCTCATCTCAAATCTGAGCCAACTAACATGGAACCTAGGACTTTAAAATGAAAAAAGCTAATGTGTAAGTCAAACTAAACCGATCAACGGAAATCTAGGTGGATATAGATAAGCTCTCGAACGCAGAAGCTGTGTGGGGAAATTTTAACAGAGGAAGACCTTTCTAGCATTCTGAAAAGTCACCTGAAGTAATCAGATAATTTAATAATTTTCACCCAGGTCAAGAGCTCACGGCGAGAACGAAACACACTGGTGTCGTTCGAAAGCGGCTTATGCCAATCACATTTCATGGCGCTTCCTTGCCCGATTTGAACGGTGCCAAAATTATTGATCCCGTCGGGAAGAATGTTGGCAAAATCCTCGCTGTTTCACAGACGCTTCCGAAAGGAATCGGACTCATTCGTTTTATGACAGCTCTTCAGAATCCGGAAAAATTGCGGATTGATGGAAGTGATGGAACAGTTGAAGTGCGACTTCCGTTTTGGTGGCCCGCTCATTTAACGAGTTCCGAAGCTGCTACGAGGTGACGTAATCTCCGGGAATGTTAGTTATTTTCGAAATGCAGTCGATGGTGCTTTCATATTGAGTCTTTCAATTTAATCCTGACAGTTTACGGGTACAGTATTGCAGCACAGAATCAGATTACTTTTGATTTTACTGATGCTTCCGTGGCTTGAATTAGACCCACGTTAAATTGATGGTTCTTTCTTCTTCTAAAAAGCTATTTCTCAAAATTTATTTTTAGAATAATGTATGAGGTTTACCAAAACTTCAAAAAGGTGACATTGAACTTTTAAAATTGTATACTCACTCATGACACGAGCCCTCTTTGTTAAAGAGGTGTGCATGGTACTAGCGTAAATATGGTGTGCAGAATTTTTTGTGAAATGTTGATGAGCAGCAATTATGCAATTTTAAATAGGGAGACCATGGAAGTTTCACCTCTTATTTTATGCTGAGGTTTCTTGAAGCCAAGTAACTGCACTCCGCTCAATAATATCCATCTTTGAATTCCGATTTTGAAAAGTGCAACCCTTTTCAATGGAGTTTTCCTGTGTACATCCAGCTGAAGGCAACCGATTATCCGTGTGCGAGTAATCTTAATGTGTCTTCTTCAAATCCCTTCCTGCAGACCAGGCTATAAAATAATTTATTACCCTGAGGAATATTTTTCTCCTGTCGATTTTTGCTGTTATTAAAAAAACTGTATATCTTAATGAAAATTAATGATGGGGAAACGTCAATAGTTCGTCATCCGAGAAAAACACCACCGAAGTCCGGACATACAGAGCTTTCAACACCTGACAATTGGTTGCGACATCTTGAGCTGACATTGATTGGCCTAGCTCATAAAACCGTGTGGCTTTTAGCCCAGATGAGAAGCCAACTTCGTAAAATACGTGTTTACAATTGCATCTTCTTATATTTTTGAATGAAAGGACTGCAACATTTTTCATACAATTTTTTCATTTTTGGTACAGTGCAGTAAGTTCTTCGTAAAAGCTACTCAATTCATTCCAGCTTGAATAAGTTCGTCTTGCAAGAACAGGATTCCCAGGTTATTGCAGGAATATAATGGTTGAACCATAAATCATTTATTCCTGTGTAGCTCAAGAACGCTAAAAATTTTTGAATGTAGAAAAGTGAGTAATTGATGAACACTGTACAGTATTACGTAACTTCAGATGATATTTCAATTTGCTTCGATTTTTTCAATGTATAAGTCCTTCTCTTATTGTCTCCTGTCTTTTGGTTCCATCTTTGAAAAATATTAAAATTCAGGAAATGCGAAAAGGTGATACTTTTCTACGGATTATTGAGTCAAATTGTAAACGTAGGTTGTTGCCGCGAATCAAATGAAACCAAGTTGGTTCGTTGCGACAGGATTCATTCCGTGCGTCACTTTTTCAAATATCCCGAGTTTGTTGATACTACATGAAGTTCGACGATGCATCATTGCAATTTCATCGTAGTGAATGAAAGCGCAGTTCAGTGTTTCGTCGATCGTGTCATCGGGATGTCTGAGTTCTGCGAAGAGTTGAAAATTCCAACTCCAGAGACACACGAAAAAAAGACGCAGATTTCTGTTGGCGGTTTGTTAGATGTCCGCTTCCCATTTTGCGCCGCGAAATTTTCCTGGAAATCCGATCGATGTGATCGAGATGCTGACCTTGTGCAAAATCACAAAAAATATTCAGGGACTCTCCGAAAGAGCGCGAATAATCAGTGGCCCGCGGTTTGCGAAGATCATGGCGTTCCGCCTGTTTCTTCCAAGGAATTTTTCGTGCGTTATCGTGAGTGCTTACGTAATACTGACTCAGGAATCTCGCGAGAAACCCTTAGAAGGGTTAAAACAAAAATTTTTTGCATGTCACGAGGGTTTTAAAATTTTTTTAGGAGACCAATTTCATCTCAAAAATATGGCACGCTTCGCACACGCACGACGCAGAATTTTCAGTCCAACGCTTTTTTGGTGATCGATTGGAAATCCTTCTGGACATTTTTAATTTTTTGTAGTACTGTAGTTTCACTTTTATTTGAAGAAGAGAAGAAATCAGAAAAAAACAATTAGAAAGGACCCTTGTACGAACATTATGCTATTTTCACCTATTCCACATAAATCTTCAGAGCAGCCGGAATGTTGCAGCAGAAATTTTCTCAACACCGAAAAATTAAGGAAGACATTTGGTACTGGAAATGAAACGGTATCATAAAATAATGAATTCCCTTGATGCGGATAGAATTTGCATTTTGTAACATATGACCGCTGAGAATATCTTCCCTATATGATGTGCACGCACAGGGAATCATTCACGTGGAAATCGTCGATTCGGTCTTTCCCTTATTCAATATGATTCTGATGGTGCGAATTTAAAACTATGGAGACAAATTCCATTCCTGTTACTGTTTTTCTAAAATTATGAAGCATCGAGGATTTTTCATTTCTTCAGAGATAAGTGCATGTATGCATCTGCTGGATATGGGACTCCATTCATGCTTTCCCGAACAGTAATTATCGGCATAATTGTTCTACACACAATCACATATTATATAGATTGAGACTCCGCGGATTGCAAAGAAAAAAAGTCAACGAAATAATGTAATCCGATCATTCGTATCGTGTTCATTGCGTCGCTACACTTACAATCATTGCATGGTGGGCTGAATTTTTATCGCAGTATGATGTTACTTATATACTGTACTGTACGGTATTTATGCTGGAGGACGATTAATGCGTGCTGGGGATCCCGCTAGGACGGAAGATCATCTTATTTCGGGAATTTATTAACACCTTACTCAATCCATTCCTGAAGTTCATACGATTTGCACCGTCACGAAGGAAAGTTTCATGTTTTAACTAGAGGCTGGCATTACTAATTTTTACTGAATCAGCACTGCTGTGTATTGCTCCGAGTATATATAAAGGAAAGATGCGATCGCGTGCTGCTCAGCGGACCCCGCGCAGAAATTCTGAGCGAGGAAGAGTGTTAACAGCTTGGAGAAAGCCTTTTTATTGGTTAGTCATCAGTTTATCTTATCAACAGTGATTTGTCAATTGTGGATGTGAAGATTACATGCACAGTATATTATAGGTTTATCCACTTTTACAAATTATGTATAACTCCTGCAAAGCTTGTACGAAATTGTTTCCATGTCCGTGTATGACATCCTCGAACCATGCTCTTGAAGCAATTTTGAGCTCCTGCCTTTTCGGAACTGTATGTGCAATATAATCTAGCCACAACAAAAAATCACACATGATACCTTTTGTGTCCGCTTTTTCCTGTGCCCTACACGCGCGAGCAACGAATCGGCAACCCAACGAAGTTGTTCCGTAGCCCGAAGTGTTACTTCTATCCGAAGATTTTCAAAAATCAGCATAATTTTCCTCCTACATCGACAATAATAAATCATTCCCGCAAGTTATATTGCACATACGGAGGAAATGAAATAACGCAAGAGTTCACTTCCGGCAATTCCAGGGTATTGACGATCTGCAGCCCCGTAAGGAAGCATCGTACTTTGAAAATGTCAGAAAACACTTTAAACCCTAAGTATGAAGTATCGGGGAACTTCGAGAAAGTGCGCGCAATACATGTTCACGATCGGAAAATTTTGGCGTCCATGATGCGTACATGCAGTGACGTGTGTATTCATTTGCGATTTCCGGAACATCCATTGGAACTTATTCGAACAAAAGATGACATCGTTCGGAGAATGAACATCAATCGAATCATACACAGTACGTGCTATTACAGGCGCGCGTGATACTGATGTTCCAAGTTTAATGCAACAATTTTTGGAACAGCCCACGCACGCTGCGTGCGTCAGACACTGCAGCGATCCTGTCAGAACTGGAATTCTCCCTTATCGGGTTGGAATTCTCCGTCTGCTGAAGTTGGTGCTGGTTAAGTATTATGGATCATGCTTTAAAAGTGTCAGTAGATATCACATTAGTTATCTGCAAAATAATTTAATTTGATCCATGTGAAAATTCAGTGCAATACTCTGAGACAAAGGATTGTGCTAAATTTGCATGCTTGGCTCTTCAAGCCGTGAAGGACCACTGTACATTGAGAGCCCCGTCATCCCCTCTTCATGTGCTCGTTGCGGAAGTTCCCCTATTATGTTGCAAGTTGGGGTTGCCAACGTCCTTGGGGTGGGGGAAGTGGTGAAATGTTCGCGGATCGTCTCGGTCAAGAGTCTAAATGTTGCGAATGACAAACTGAACCGTCCCGGGAATTATTCAGTCTTTCGTCGGTGGTATTGACGGAACATTTTGTGCAGGTGGGAGATGTTTGGAAATCACCGGAAGGTCTCAGATTGATCACCATTTTGGCGGTGTTGTGTGTGAAATTCCTTTCAGTCCAGGCCCGTTCATTAATTCTACTGCTTCGACAAAGTCGTATTTATGTATTGTATTCCAGAATGTGCGTCGATATGAGCATGTATCAGTCGAAGTTATTGTAGTAATTCTTCTTCTTTTTCCCAGGTCGTGTACGTTGTACACACATAAATCCAAATTTTTCCTTATTCCATAATGGTGAAGAGGTCCGAGCAGGCATGCTCTTCGGAGCATTCTGCATGAGATCTGAAACCAAATGCTGCTAAGCATTCGGGGTATCACGAGCGGTTAACGTGAATCTTCGAATACTTTAAAAGTCAGGAGTTTCGGCCGTAGTATACTACAGTATACCAAAGCAGCATTTGAGAAATAGTACAACGAAAAGCGATGGATTCAAGAGCATCTCTAGCTCCACAGAATGCAAGTCTTCCTTCAGCGAGCACTTCGAACGCTGATCCAAGTTCGCTGTCGGGACAGTCCTCCACATCTTCATGGGATCGTATGTCGCAGGATGCTCGGGCGGAAGTCTTACGGAAATTGAAGCGCGAAAGTGTGCGTCTCCGAACGTTTCAGCGTTGGTCGTCCCCACTGGTTATGCCGGAAGATCTTGCGCGTGCAGGATTCTTCTATTTTAACGACAGTGACAGAGTGCAGTGCGTTTTCTGTCTCGGAATCATTCATCAGTGGGAACGTGGCGACGTTCCGATGGAACAGCATCGAGAACATTTTCCAAGATGCCCGTTCGTTATTGGACTACCCGTTGGAAACCTCCCCATCCGCGAATCCAGAAATGAACCGCCGGTTTACACTCCTGTGCCACAAGTCCCGGGCGGAATTGATGTCGTCGGTTCACAATCCCTGCAGCTCAGAATGAGAAGTGCGCAGCCAGAGAACTACGGTCCCGGCGGTAAGTGATGATTTTGCCGGTGATGGAACAATGTTGCTAATACTTCTCATGTTTTACAGAAATGAAGGTGACAACTCTAGGTGGAAGTACTTTGAACGACTTGGGTGTGTTGTCGTGGTCATCTCCTGCGATGCCTGCTTTCCGAACGCTTGATTCGCGAATAAAGAGTTTCTCTAGTTGGCCTAGAGGATTACCACAGAAACCGCTCACCCTTGCTGAAGCGGGTCTTTATTATACAGGTTGGTGGCGGAAAGCTCCCTTATGTAGATGGAATTTAGGCTTTTCCAGATGTTTGGAACGAATTTGTACTGAGAAAGATTGAAGAAATGACTCTGTTCGTATTCGCTTACGTAGGTGTCAGTGATGAAGTCAAGTGCTTTCAATGCGACGGTGGTTTAAAAGGATGGGAACCACACGACGATCCATGGGTAGAACATGCGAAGTGGTTTCCGGAGTGCAACCACGTATTACTGATCAAGGGAAAGGAATTCGTACTGGATGTCAAGAAACAAACCGTAAGACAGACTCTGTACAATATCTCTGAGATAATTAACGTAGTCATTCTTGGTGTGCGACAAGCGATAAGAGCCCGTGGTTGGGGTCCAAATACCCCCTTCTCTCGATGGAATCGAGAAAGTGTCATGAGATTCCTCTAACGGGTCCCTTCTTGTTACTTTCATGGATACGTTTGCGTTATTTTCACCTCTTTATTTTGAATTTTGGAAAAGTTTACCAACGGTTAATTTTTTGCACCGCTGCATACCTCCTCAGATTAAAAAAAAGTTGGCGGGTGGATTGACTATTGAATTGTTTCATATTTGTGCAGGTTTTATCAACGGACCCAGAAGCCCGAGAAAGAGCTGCGCTTCGACTAATGCGAGAGGAACCAGCATTGGTAAGAACTTCACCCACCGATGACTTATTCGAGTTCTCTTCATCGTATTTTCTCATTTAGACCGTCCTCGGCATGGGTATCAACTTCGGAGATGTGAAAAAAGCTATACTGAATAGTTTGGAGAAATTTGGTCGAGGGTACACGGATGCGACAGTACTTGCGAGGGCAGCACATAACTTCGCAGCGGATCGAAATCTAGATTATCCTGCAAGGTAAATAGCTTTTTCTGTTCGTACCATCCATTGATCGAGAATATGTGGAGAACTTCGGCTAATGTAGTAAAAAATTGAAATTACGACTAATGTCCTCTAAATGCCGAGAACTGGTATTCAAATTCATTTTCAAGTCTAGATTGAGCTCAGCAGCATTCATACATTTTGCAGGTGTGTCGTTCCGAACTTGAAATTAAAACTTTGCTTCTTCCCGGGCGAAGAAAGTGCTGTAACTGAAACAGTGGAAATGAGTATGTGTATTTTTTCCTTCGTTTTATGAGACGAAGTGCATGGTACTGATTCCACTTGGTTTATTGGCCCGTAATTGTTGCACACAAGAAGACTTGAAAGGTCCCAATAGGGCTTGTTTTTAGGATATCTTGTAACCTAGTTTCGAATTTATTTTTGAATTGTTATTCTGTATTTTGTAATCGCTATGTAACCGAAATTCGCGCGATTTTTTCTACGCCGTGCTGAGCTCTAGTCAATATTTATCGATTAGCAGTTTTTATTGCATCCATCAAGTTCCGATTTTTCCACTGCTGATACGCTTCTCTTTCACTTCTATTTTCTATCGTATGAAAGAAGTCGCCGTGAATAAACACTGATTCACCAAGTCTACATGGCTTGTTTCTTGTTCTGTTCAGCAGAAGTACGAGAGAACGCGACAACTCGGAATCCGGATACGAGTCCATGCATGGGTCCCAGTCACCGGAGGTTTGTGACTAATTTGTTTACTTTTCTGCAAAATGTCAATGACGTAAGAAACCTTTCTAGGTTATATCTACCATGAAGAATGCGCCCTGATTACAGTTTTTGAAACCTCCGTATAAAATTCCTGAAATATATTCCGAGTAATTCATTTGAAATAAAATACTGCGAAGACGTACAACAGTTGAACTCAATTGGGTCCCGAAGCATTTGTAGAAATATTTTAATTATCTGGCTGATAAGCTGTCGTATTTTTCATTATTCGGAGGGTTTTCGAGGCGAGAATAATTCGCGGTGTGTGAATTACAGTACTGTAGTACAGTATAATGCTCGAGATTTGAAAGGTTGTTTTTGAGAGTCAAGTCAAAGAAAGACTTTATTATTTTTTCGAAGCATGTAGAGCATCTTGTACCGAAGGTCGTGTCATCGAAGTATGAGACACAGGCTAAAGATTGAGCCATGCACGTGACGAACTGTATATTTTGTGGAGTGGTGAAGGGTATGCGCTTACAGCTGACGCGCGGATTTATTTTGCATTCGTGATTGTATGATTCATTCTTGGGAGAATCTTGAATTTTACTTCCGTGTTTCATATATCGAAAGTAACCTCCCATCATGTGCTCCTGGCCTCATGTCTTCATGAAACAAATTTTAAAACAATAAGGCGTGAAAGACTTTCGAAACTTAGGTTCACGGAAAATCTACGAGTACTGTACTGTACTTACGCCTCAAGGAATCCCTCCAACTTCGTCTTATATGCAGAAAAAATGCAGAACTCCTTGGATTTTTGACAAGTTATTTACAAATTTTAAATGGTTGAAAATGTATCTGAAACAGGTGCATCTGATTATTCTTTCATGCTGCCAATTGAAAACATTGCCGAATTAAACTTCATTGAAGATATACTTCTGGCAATGCAAAATCATAAATTAACACGTTGTCTTTTCCACTCCAAAAATTCGTTGCTTTTTATTTATTATGGAGAAACGTTTTAACCACAGACCGAATATGATTGACATGATATTCTACGCAACATCGAAATTTTTATTTTTGAACTCTCTCATTTACAAATTTCCAGCATGTTCTGAAATGAAAGGGAAACTTCCTTCTAAGGATTTGAGAAATTCCAAGGACGCGCGGCAGTTGGACTACCATGGTATAATTAAAAATGCTCTTTCAGATTATTGAAGGTGCCGTGGCCGCCCCTTTCCCAACTGTTCGTCCCAGGATAGGAACCTCCACCGTTGTTGCTACTGCTGCAAAAGAAGACGTTGTTATGGGAGAGGACGTGGTTCCAACCTCAGCAAAGCAGTCTGCTGAAAAGTCAAAAACAACCGATGAAAAATTTGGTACGTGTGTTTCCTCTTTGTTGCTTTCTGGTCGAATAGAGGAACGAGTTTGTGACAGACATGTTTCCTGTATCGCAGATTTCATGTGTAAAATCTGCATGGCAAACAAAGTGGAGATCGTGATTTTGCCGTGCGGTCACCTCTGTTCGTGCCAGGGATGCTCGTCGTCAATAAAGAATTGCCCGATTTGTCGCGAAGAGTTCCGCGGATTTGCAAGAGTGTATTTGAGCTAGAGAAGCCCCTCTTTGGAGAGGTTTTCTAGAGTCGATCCCAAAACGCCAGGTGCTGCTAGAAAGGTTAGAAAAAGCGCGGTTTTTTTAAGAAATGGGGAAAAAATACGCTCTATCTTTTCCTTTGTGAAAAAATGCGGCATGTTTTCGAAGGTCTTTGGAGTTCTGCAATCCTGTAATTCACAAGCCATCATCCAACACATTGGAAAATTTTTCGAATTGCTCTGCGTTTTCGGCTTGACTATTCTTATTTTTTTATTTAATTCTCCAACTCACGAAGGCGTGACGACTGAAGGTAATTTTCTGTCGCTAGCACTTCTATTGTGTGAAGATTCTCTGTAGTATGGCGAAAACCGTCTCCCGCTGATGAAATAACGATATTAATCGATGTTCACGGTGTTGGCTTAAATTTGCCATTTTTTGTATTCTACGATGCAATATACGATACAATACAATTGTTCCAATAGTATGAAAAATATTACATATTATAATATGAAGGTTAAAGTGGAGCATGAAATATGCCTCTGCTGAAGTTTCTTAAATTTGATGAGGATTGATGTTTTCAAATGATTTTTCTTCTGAAGATGACCGTTTTTGGATCAACTTGGTAGTGACTCGATAAGAAATTGAAAGAAATACGTGAAGAAATACTTATAGAAATATTTGAAGAAATACTAATAGAAATATTTGAAGGAATACTTATAGAAATACTATAGAAATATTTGAAGAAATACGTATAGAAATATTTGAAGAAATACGTATAGAAATATTTGAAGAAATACTAATAGAAATATTTGAAGGAATACTTATAGAAATACTTATAGAAATACTATAGAAATATTCGAAGAAATACGTGAAGAAATATTTGAAGAATTACTTGAAGAAATAGCGGAAAAATAATTTTAAATTATAGTGAGCTTATGAAGTGTTCTAAGTATAAAGTAAGCGTCTGTGATGGAACGAAACTATCATTTCTGTGATGAATCGAACTGATCTTTTCTGTGATGAATCAGATTCATAATTATTAAAAGCCCTACTACCTTTGGATAATTTTTTTTTGCTAATTCGAGAAATTTTGAAGAAACTCCGAACTGTTGCGGTTTGCGGCTTGGCGTGGTAGCACTTATTTCGCAAAAATCGAGGCGCTTGGCCTCCGAGTTACCGAACTTGTGGGCATCCTCAAGCAAGAATGGAATGAATGGACGGAAAGAGACTCCCCTTCCACTTTCGATCGCTTTTTTGCTGTACAGTAGTTCCGTGGACTAAATGAAATAACATCCGAGGATCTGATCAGTGAAGCCCAACAACAGGGACATTCAAGAATCCAACTCAAGTGGGCCCCGCGTTCATGGGAACAGTGGAGAACAGAGGATTGGTTCAAAATTTTTGAACTTTCCAAGATGGTTTTTTTTTTTGTTGTAGTGAAGAATGTTCTCGTCTTTACCCGCCTTAGTGAAGATAAGGAAAAGCGAAGGAGCCTGAAGAAATACACGTATTAACGAACTTCGCTTGACCTACTAAGTTGCTGGTGGTCCAAGTTCAACCAAATTTTCCACCCGAGTGAAAAACCATCTGGAGAATTATTCCTTGTACAATACAGTACCATAAGTTCTTAACCTGGGCTCTGTCCGAATTTTCTCGAAACAGCCATGGGAAATAGGAGACGAAAGAATGGAGTGAATTTAAATGGCAATAAATTGCGTTTAAGCCAAGAAGAGGTCAGGAAAAGTCTCTGTAATACGATGGGAAGAACGTTCCCTTTTTTCGATGCCATGAAATTGAATTTGAAGAAGGCATAGTCATAGAAATGTAATTTGAAAAGGGCTCCGTTTGTAGGAATTGTTGATTCATTTTAAATCCCAAAACGTTGGCAATATGCTGAACATTTCGATCGTGTCTGACTGCGTGTGGGTGAAGCATTATGCACTTTTTTTTTGTGCCCTGGAATCGAGTCTTCCCAATCGCAAAACTGTTGAACCAGTCAAAGTATCTTCTGTTTTCTAGTGAGCGGTGGGGATTCTTGATTGTCCTCGCGGAAAAAAAAAAAACTCCAATCGTACGGTAAAAACGCGTGCTGAATTACACCGCACTCCGACTCGTAGATACATTTGATCAATGCAATGTGAAGGTTCTCGAAACGGTTCACGTTTTCAAGTCACAGGCTGTAAGTAGTTTCTCTTGAGACGATGGATGCGCATTCTGTAGTATATCTCTTGCATATTTTGCTGTGATCCTGATTTTTTTTGACACTGGAAAAAAATTCCAACTGGCTTTTTGTGTGTCGTGCAGCTCAAGGATGCTTTCACGATTCTTCCGAAATTTATGGAATCGGGTCAGCCATAGTGAACTTTCTTTTGATTACACGAATGATTTGCTGATGGCGTGACGTCGTGGGGGGGGGGGGGGGCTTTTTGTGCATTTTTTCGGGTTGATGTCTTGTTTCGAATGCAAAAATCTCCTATATTTTTCCTCGTTTCGTGTGTTGACATATACTAGTGGTGTACATGAAACTAAAATGCGAATTTCAGTAGGATATCTAATGGGATCGACAGTGATGTGGAAAAAAAAAAGGTCGTGTTCGGAGTGCCGGGAAACTTGGAACGACTTCTTTGTTCTAACTTGCTTCAGACGAAATTTTCGAAAAATATTCGATTTCGTCGAAATATCAGAATAAAAATCTTTTTTCTCGGTTTCACTACGAACGGGTCGATGTTAATGATTTCGAAGTATTGTGGGTGCTGTAATTGGTGGTGTGTTTTAATTACGGTGGAGGAAATGCGGGCATTACACGTTTGAAGCCAGTCGGTTTTTGAAACTGAGACCTGGGTTTTTTTTTGTAGTGTCCTTTTTTTATTGTGGTTCTTGGTATTTTTTCGTTGTGAGAAGTGAATCATCATGTCCATGCTTGTGTTTAGGTCCTGAAATTTTAAAGAAATAACCCGAATGTCCAACGGTCATCATTGTTTTCGTTGCAACAAAGTTTGAAAATTCTACGTTAATAAATGCAAAATTATCGATTTTGACGCGCCTTTCAACTAGCGGCTTCATTTTGCAACGTCACTATTATTGTGTTAGAAATTGGGGAAACTTGTGGATGGGTCCAATGTGTGAAAGAGATGACCTGAATGATTCATGTAAAATTAGTTTTTGTTGCTATATTCCTTGTTGATCAAATTAATCTAGTATGACGCTATGAAACTTGTTCCTACAATTTTTCTTGTCGGTATTATGTCTTTCGTTGTTAGTAAACGTGCATTCAACGTTGATAAGCAAATTAAAAAATTATTTTGCTGCAATTATAATAGCCCAGATCAATTTTTCAAGTCAACTATTATTTTCGGTGTGACAAAGCTTGTGTATAGTACCTGAATATTATGTAAAATCAATTTTGACGCTGTTGAACTTGAGGTTTCATTTGTGTGATCATTCCTGAGTGAATTTAGCTTTTTTTGGATGCAGTGGTGCCTCAAACCTTTCTGTGCTATGTCTTGTCTGTATGCATAAAATAATAGATTGGCATTGTAGTAAAGAATCAGATTTTGAACCATCAGGTCCCAAACTACAAACTCCATTTGCAAATGTTTTTTTCAACTGTAAATGGAAATGTTGATTCAACTGTAAATGGAGTATAAAACCTGTTTTATGTAGGGGATGACACAGCTGAATTACCTTGAAATCTTATGGGAAATTTGAGAAAGAATGTCAACTCCTGGGTGGATTTGAAAAATTAATGTATTATTGAATAGGCGGAGAGCATGATTTTCCTTTGTTTCTGTTGTATGTATTTCCACTGCAATATGTTTTGTTTCACTGCACTTCTGATTTTATGTTGAGTTGGGATCTTTGGGCAAAATGGTTTTCACTTCAGCACAAGTTGTATCCTTTTTATAAATATTTGTAGGCTAAGGACATGTGAATATGCAATTGGGCTTCATGGACTTACACTTAATATTGCAGAAGTTCTTTGATAATTGCTTTGTGTGCATCTGTAAAGTATCTGATCATTTGAGTTGGATTGAGATATGACTATATTAGCCAACTGATTGAATTATCATTAAAGTAATACATATTTGCCCTGGCAAAAATCTTGGTCCAACTGGGTAAAATAACTATGCCAAAAAACCCTTCCTAATCCATCAAAATCTCATCTGATTTAATCTTTATTATTACAATGAATCTCATCAGAATTTTTTTCATAAATAGCTTCACAATGAATTTCTTACTATAACAGCATTCACAGGTTACTACAGCTTTGTTGTGATGGGATTTTATGGTTGGACAAATAACTGTTCAGATCAGAAGTAATTTTCTTTGAGTACAATCCACTCCAGTAAAGTCATAATACTGAACAGTATTCATACACAGGTGGGTCAGGAAAAATTCATTTTAGAGATGAATTTTTTGCAGAGAATTGGTATAACAAGAAAAGATAACGCTGTAGGACAAAAAATCACACAAGTAGTTTAAAAAAAATTGTAGTGATGAAGACAATTTTTTTGCTATAGAAAGAGTAAACAACTGTCAACCCCACACAAAGGACTTAATGTACAACAGACTGGTATCTTGCGTGAAAAATCTGTAATGCAAATTTAATCATTGAAACATGAATTTATTTTTACTTTTTACCATTTATTTTGAACCAGCAGAAGTCTGTGTTGCAGATTTAGTCCATTTTGTGGGAGGGAAAACTGTCTCCAGATGCTGTCTATTGTGCAAGGGTTGACTGTATTCCATGTCCCAAGTGCTTTTTATGCAAAATTTTACCATTTTCCAATTAATGTCTTAGAATATTCTCAAATTTTCAAACTTGTTTGCTGTCTGAAGAAATGAGTGATTTCCTTCAATATTTATTGAATGAAACATGGGCTAGTACTACTTGAATGAATATTTCAAGATTCTTGGGATCTCTGGTGTGAAATTATTTTTTGTTTTCAGGATATCTGCGTCATCTATGAGATCAGAAGTGAACTTCGCCTGTCGAGTCCCTGATGCTGTTGCGAATTATTATGTTCACTTTTGCACTCATTTATTGTTGGGATACGAATTGAGTAGAAGCGTTGTAACGGACGTATTTCGTCGCGCGGAATAATTTGTTCCCTTCGGAAGAGTACTTTTAGAAGTGATCGATTTTTTCGGCACATCTAAGCTGTATTACATGCGACCAGCTACTGTGATGTCCATTGCAAATTTTTGTGCACGTGGGATGTTTGGTATTTTGCCCCAAATGCTATAATATGTGCTGTCAATCTGAAGAGGCTTCGAAATAAAAGCTCATGACACCGGGTCTTCTTTTTAACTCTTGTGTGTGTGCATGTATTTACTTCACATTTTCTGGTAAAAAATAAATTTTCCCTGAAGACAGATTGATCCCCGCATATTCAAACAAATATCCTATTATTGTACGCATCCAATTGGTGGAAACACTTCTGTGTTTACAAATAAAGTAAATTATTCCCATATATCAGTATGAATAAGTCCACCTTTTGTCGGCAATTAACGATGGAAAACAATCAAAGTATCCCGTAGAGTGAATGTACAGTATATTATATGTACAGAATAAAATAACGTATCATGATGACTATATAATATGAATAAATTTATCTTTTGCATCCACCTTTTCGAAGTTTACAAAAATGTAAATCAGTATCTTTCAGCGGGTCTCTTGATTGTTTCACTCTGAAGAATATCGTGCCATGTGAGATTTTTGATGTGCAAGTCTCCTGCAAAAAAAGTATGCTCACTGTATGGTGGAATTCATTTGGGGCAGCCTTGCATTTCAGAATAAACCAGGGCTTTAGAGAGGAACTTATGCTATACTTCATATTTAAATGTGCTATCCCGTTTTTTAAATTTCAATTTGGGCCCCTCAACCTGTGGAATGATTAGCAAACTTCAGGAATAAATAAGGTATTTTTTAAATGATTTTGAACAAGGCGAAAAATTCAGAGCAAGTCTGCCAATAATGTCCAAAAAATAGGAATTATAAAAACTATAATCTAAAATGTAGAATTAAATAAAAGAGATCCTTGGAATGAATGAATAAGTCATATACTCAATTCTGTACCAGCAGAAAACCAGATGTAAAGTTCAAAAATCCACAATCCCTGATGAAATACCACATATGATATGGTTATCACAGCACAGGGAAGCCTCTCACTCTACTTGAAGTCAAGAGCTGTGATCCTTAATCCGGACTTAACATTCGCTAATACAGAGAATCTTTCTTTCTGCTGAAAACGTGAGTATTCTCCGAAGGGTCATTGCTAAAAAACGGACATAGGACAGAAAAGGTCCTATCGTCGGAATTTACGTGGTTCGGTTCTGTCGAATAAGTCAATTTTCTCCCCATGGTTAACATTCAGCCTTCTTTTCTCAGATTTGCTTATTCTCATCTATATTATTATAAATTTGTTATGTTCAGAAAGCAGAAATTGAAAAAACCACTCCGCTCATCAAAGCTAAATAAGGAAGTCTGACACAATTTAAGTTTGACCAGACCTTCATTAAAAATATCCACTTCATTATTGTAGGGATCTTTCATCATATAGTCACTGCAATAAATAAATAAACCATTTACTGTATTTGTTAATGCCAAGTTTTCTACAAAATGTTTCCTCCCAATTTGTCATTCACGCTTCATCCTCATGCTGGACTAGAAAATGCTGACTTCAGGAAATCAGAAGTAAAACTTAATTTGATACAGAGTGAAAGAATTTATATACATGTCCCTATAAAAATCAGAAAATGTAGCAAGGTAAAATTTTAGAATCATAGTTCAAGAATTGTTAAACCATTCCAAAAAATGCTTCTTTCAAGTACTGTATTTATACTGTTGAAAGCAAAATGTTACCCACAGCAACATGAGAAAACATTTAAATTATTTACTGCTTTCTACAAACAAATATATAAAATAATACAATTTATTATGAGATTTTTCTGTTGGTTTTCATGCTCCTAAACATGTCCAGAAATTGCTTCTTGCTATCTTATTATCTGTATAAAGGTTGGAGCGAAATTGGAAAAGAATAAAAAGAAAAAGGAAATGTTTTTTCAACATATCATTGAAGGAACCCTGTCTCTGTACACTGTATAATTATAAAAAAAAATCAGCAATATTGAAGCACATATGGCATTTGTCCTTTTCAATGGCAGAATATATCCCAACGGTTTGAAGCCACAGCTAAAGAGGAAATATAGGACTCTTTTATACATATCATACAGGGGCACTCTTGTACTGTTTACTGATGTTCATGTAAGTTTCTTTGTAAATCACTTTGAAATTGAAATAAGCAATAAGTGACCAAGCAATAAGTAACTAATGGCAGTTTTTCTGTCCAGATGATGGATATCTTTTCTCTTCAGTATTGAAAATTATTTAAAAATAAAAGGAAAAAATTGATAATTTATTCTCAGATGAGATGAGATCATTTAGCCAATGTTTCAAATATTCTTGGAATATAGTTTCCTAAATACACTTGGACAAACATTCTTGAAGGCATATGCATATTATAAAAAAATAATTGCATGCTTTTCGTTCAGTCTCAATCACCTGAATTCAACTGGAAGGACAAACAACAGCTTTGGAAATTCTGCAGCCAAGAAAAATATTAATTTAGTGCTTTACCGTGTACAGTTTAAAAGTCGGTTGGTATATTGACAGGTAATTAAAATAATAAACAAAACTGAGCATGAAAGACCTTCTTTTCACTCCACTTTAGCTACATCATGGGCAAACAGTTGAAGAAACTCTTGAGCAGAGCTTCATCCAACCCCCCACGGTTAAAAAAAAAAAAATTTAGTCCCTAAAGGTGGTGCGGTTGTCCTAGTTGTTTGTAATATGATCTTCCACTTTATAAGACTCACATTCTCCCTCTCTCCCTCAAGGTCTCTCTTCTAATGCCATAATCAGTGTGAGAGAAGGAGTGTGTATTCCCTGAACAGTGAGTTGAGCCATCCATACTACTGTATATGAACAGGGTGTTCCAAAAAGGTACAAATCCCAAAAAGCATTCACAAGTGGCTGAAATTCATGCATTTTATGCACATTACAGTATTGACAAAATTTTTGTGCTGAAACTTTCTATGGGTATTTTACTATATGTTATAGGGACCCTCTAAACCAGTATTCCCCAACCCATAGTCCATGGACCAGCATTGGTCCACTGAAGATTTTGGCCAGTACACAGAACATTTTCTGCAGCATACTGAATTTGCCGAAGTAGCAATGAAGTCTGTTATTGTTATCCAAAATTTTGCAGGCAATAAATGGCTTTTAATGCATTTTGGCAGAGTTGATTAATAGACTACTCTCTTATTTTCAACCGAAAAGAGGACTAGTTGTGTAGGCTGTTTAAAAACGTACGACTTTATTAATTAAATTAAAAAAGTAGTATTCTTTTGAAAGAAGTTCGGATGGAAAGATTTTTTTTAAAGACATTTATGTCTGTAATATCAACTTCACTGGTGTTTAATTAAAAAAAACAGAATTTCTTTAAATACCTGACATAAATTCTTCCAAGCAAAACTTCTGAGTGTGCAACAAATTTATGTAACCTTGCTGGTCTGCAGAAGCATTTTGAGGAAATTGCTGGTCTGCATTTTGTTTGAAAATTTGCTGGTCCACTGTCCCAAGAAAGTTGGGGAACACTGTCTATATATATATTCATTACTCATCTATATCACATGGGCTTTTTTCAGTTACAGAGCAGTCCATACATTTGGAAACCCTAACATGTTGTCAACTCCATATGTGGATGTGTAAAACTCAGAACTTATGCCCTGACATCTGGCCAATGTCTCAACTCTCAAGATGAGTGCATTGACAATATTTCAAGAAAGTCATCAAAAGACTATTAATACATTTTTCCATCTCCAGAAAAAATTTAGCAATTACCATGGAAAAGGCCAAAATACATCCCATCATTGATTTACTGCAAAATAATTTCTGTTCCAAAACAGGCCAATGTGTGCTTCTCTTTTCATGGGGTTTTCCAAGAATAATAGGCTTGCCTTTTATTGGACTCCTCTCATATTAAAATGGCAGATTCTGCAAGGCTTTCTCCTACTTACTATCTTATAATCAAGCATTTTTCAAAATTTTGGAAATATGTTTTCCAATGTTTTGACAAGCACAATACATTTGTAAAAAAGTTCCATTGAAGTCTATGGGAAAATTTGGTCTGACCCAGCAAATAATTTGGGGTTTAAAGTTGAGGGCATTCCTGGCAACTATTTGGGTGATGCTGCATGGTTTGTTACTCTGTATAGTTACCAAAAATGGGCAGGGGATACAAGCCCAATGCCCTCAAGTCAGCCCATCATGACTGTCTAGTGCAGTGTTCCCCAAAATGTTTGGGTCTGTGGACCATCAAATTTTCATATATTATCTGATGAGAGAATAAAAGTTGGCTTTTCTCCTGATCAACACATCCGACAAATTTTTGCATGCTGAAATAATTAATTTAATTTTTTCATCATAAGAAAACTTTCTTCAAGCCTACCTTTCTAAATTTTTTAAAGAGATTTTTAAAATATTCTTAAAAGATAATGTCAATAGCAACTTCACTGGTGTTTAATGTAAAAAAACAGATTTTTTGAAATACCTGACATAAACTCTTTCAACCAAAACTTTTCTGAGTGTGCAACAAATTTATGTAACTTTGCTGGTCTGCAGAAGCATTTTGAGGAAATTGCTGATCTGCAATTTGTTTTGGAAATTTGCTGGTCCATGGTCCCAAGAAGGTTGGGCAACACTGCCTATATATATATATATATTCATCACTCATCTATATCGCATGGGCTTTTTTCAGTTACAGAGCAGTCCTCACATTTGGAAACCCTAACATGTTGTCAACTCCATATGTGGATGTGTCAAACTCAGAACTTATAGCCCTGACATCTGGCCAATGTCTCAAGATGAGTGCATTGCCAATATTTCAAGAAAGCCATCAAAAGACTAATTTTTAATACATTTTGCCATCTTCTGAAAAAATTTAGCAATTACCATGGAAAAGGCCAAAATACATCCCATCATTGATTTACTGCAAAATAATTTCTGTTCCAAAACAGGCCAATGTGAGCTTCTCTTTTCATGGAGTTTTCCAAGAATAATAGGCCTGCCTTTTATTGGACTCCTCTCATATTAAAAGGGCAGATTCTGCAAGGTTTTCTCCTACTCAGTATTTTGTACTCAAGAATTTTTCAAAAGTTTGGAAGTATGTTTCCCAATGTTTTGACAAACATGTGAAATGAGTGAAAATGTTCCATTGAAGTCTATGGGAAAATTTGGTCTGACCC